AATATAAAGAGAATAGATCCCTGTCCCAATAGGTTTACAATCTAAAATTTGCCTCAGGAAAGAGAGACTAAGAGGAAAGCGGGCTAAACAGGTGAACAATGCATGCTCATTCATTTATACCTATTCATACTGTATCTATATCCTACTATAAGGAAGCATGAGTAGGTATAAATACATTATTTCAGCATACATTCTACCTCCATTTATCCTTGTTTCCATTTCTTTCTTCCTCCTCTGTGACAACATGTAGGTTTTTAATTCCTCTGGTAAGCAACTATCCTGTTTGTATTATGTAATATACTGATGGCAGATGGTGGTGATTATGCTGAACAGAACGCACACATTTGAAATTAGGCAAAATGGTAAGATTTGACTATACAATCAGATTTTACTCTAGGATACATCTGAAATTTTTAAGTTAGTATTCTTACTTGATGAATTGCAAGTTAATAATGTTACTTGCCAAAGTAATAAAACTGGTACTTTTACACTGAGAAAACAAAACAAATCCAACAATAGAAACAGAATGTTAGAAAAAAGCAAGTTAAAAGATAGTAGGAAATAGGAATAAATAGCAAATAGTTAGGAAATTCTCTCATAGTTTGCAACAGACAGAGCTCAACCATACGTCCCTCTAACCATAGCATGGACATATCTCACAAAAAGTTTTTAAGGGATATATCCTCAAGCAACAACAATGTTGCTTTTGTCTCATCTCTAGCCTGCCACGTAGGCAGCCTAAAGTTACATTTAGCTATTCCAGTTTTAAACTACCATTCTCCTTCTTTGATTGACACGGTTTTTGTCATGAATGTGATCTTCAGTACTTTCTTGAATATGTGCTGAAGGCATGTCCTCTCCCCTCCATCACTGGTCATTGCCCTCCATGGCCATTTTCCTTGAGCTGCTGGAGAAACAAGACACCTAATTTCTCCAGTGCTATCTGCTGTAGTAACTAATTGGTGCTTACGAAAGTGCTGGTTAGACATTGCATGTACTTCTTGTATTCATGGGTTTAGTGCTCTTTTAAAAGAGAGCCCGATCTGATTTTTTAAATCAGTTTAATGCTGTTTTGAAAGAGCAGTCAATTTTGTTTAAAAATCAGGGCTAGAGCCCTTTGGAGATCTTAAAAATAGACATTTAAACTAGAAGAACACTAGGCCTCTGTTCAAAAATAGCCTGACTGAAGGACACAAACACAGAGCATGTCTTTGCCTCTTACCTGTCACTCAGGAGACTTGAAAGGCAGCTGCATTCTCTGCCCCAGGCACCATCTATGCTCTTAAATGCTTTACCACAGATTAAGGAGAGCGATTGGTAGCTGTTTTTCCCCACCACTAGGCAGTGCTCAGTGGGAAAGCCTGGAAATCTGCCAATCTTTCTCTTGAACCTGGCCCTCTTTAAAGATAGGGGGGAAAGCGGGGGGGGGGGGAGAGGAGGAAGAATTCATCAAATTGATACAATTGTGCCAGGAAGTATATTGTTATTTAACAAACTGTTTGAAAAATAGGGGTTTGTATTAAAAGCCTTTTAGAGATTAAAAAAAATTAGGCATCATTTTTTTCTTTCTTGCAGAAGGCTGAATAAAAATGGAATCTGTGAGATTGAAAACCACGCCTTCAATGGGACTATCTTGTCTGAGCTGTGCGTATGTTATACTGTACTGTACTATAGTGAACATACTATATTATGTTCACTAATCTCTGGTTACAGTTGCAGTGTGTGGGGCAGGGAAATATTTTAGGCATATGTCAGTGGCATAGGAAAGAGGAAGCATGGGGAGCTTTGTACTTCTATATATCATATCTGCCAAATATTTGGAATGGAGCCTATATTTATACTTTCTTGAAGGACTGGCATGTTAATTTGTTGCAGCAAAGCTTGTGCCAGGCTCTCTAAACCTAGGTCTCTATTGTAATGCATCTAGAAGGCACCAGTATAAAAAAAAATGTAACCATGAATAAATAAATAATTTAAAAGTGATACTCTTTCGAATGGAGAGTGATTCCAAAGACAAAATCCCAAAGTTCTTATGTTTTGAAATATTCCACAAGTGTATAAATGCTACCTGTATCCCTGAATTGATGGCATATTGGAATCAGCTGACAATATTCCAAATGGGAGGTCATCTCTTGGTTTTTGAGGATGGCCTGTAGCTTGTAGAATATCCTTTGACTTGAAAGAGCATTCCCCAAACTGGTATCTTCAGATGCATGGAAATTGCTGTACCAGAATTCCCAGTGAACATGACCAAGAGAAAATTAAATTCAGTGACAAAATTTAAGCAATGCAGTTAGTTGAGTGAAGGTATGGAATTAAACCAGAGTTTTCCAAGCTTGTAAGCTGGAGCTTTCAAACCTTTCTGAAACCATATATTGCTGTCATGAAATGGCTCTTATGATAGATATGGCCAATCCCAAAATAGTCATTTACCAAACGCAAACTGATAAAGATCTTCCCCTTGTCTCTAGCCCTCCCAGAATATTCCCCTGCATAGCGCTATCTATTATAGGGACTGATCCAATCCACAGTTCCAAGCAACACACAGCATTGCAGCAATGTTTATTTTTTGAAGGAAGCTTGTGAACCTGTATGGAGCCCATTTTTTTCTTGGGAAAAAATGTTGTTGGATGGCCCTTTGTTTTACAGAAGGCCATCATAAAGTAATCTTGTCAAATGTCACAGGGAGCCTATCAGGGATTAGGGAGTTCTTTACACATACATTAATGCCTATAGATACCTTCTTGAAGTGCCTAGCATTAAACAATTATTGTTTATTTTTTAATTTTTGTAACAGAAATCTGAGTGGCAATTATAACCTAGAAAAGTTACCTAATGAAGTTTTCCAAGGAGCCTATGGACCAGGTTATTTGTAAGTAATAATTCTCATTATATATTTGCTGATGCTGGTAGAATCTCAGATAAGTAGATGTTAAGATACCATCTCAGCTCACATCAAAGAAGGATGCATGTGGCTGGATGAATTTTAAGAAGCATTTAAATTTCATCATTGCATGAATCTCTTTGCTCTGCACTATATATTTACTTTTGATGCTTTGCTCCCCTAAAGAGCACAAAATAATTAACACATAATTCCCAATTTATGATTCATTTAAAGAACTTTGGCTTTATCAAAACTAAGGAATATATTTCCTTGTGAAGTGGCAATGGATTCCAACTTAGATAATCTAAAAGAGAATGAGACAAATTCATAGTCAATCGAATTATAGACTGTAGGAGTTGGAAGGAATCTTAGAGGTCATCGAGTCCAAACCCCTGTTCATTGCAAGAATTGGCCAGAATCTCCACTGCTGGAAGCCATTCAGCCTCCTTTCAAAAACATCTGTCAAGATAGAGTCCCCACTTTTCTAAGCAGACTGTTTCACTACTTAATTGTAGTTAGGAAAATCCTCCCAATATTCCACCTGATTCTTCTTCCTTTTAGTTTCAAACCATTGGTTCTGTCCTGATCTGCCAGGCTTGTAGGCATTTGTAGAATGTTGTTATACCTTACCTTAGGATTCTCTTTTGTAAATTAAACCTGCCCACCTCCTTTAACTATTCCTCATACAGCTTGGCCTCTGAACCCTTTAATGTGTGGGTAGCTACTCCAACCTCTCCATATCCCTTTGAAGCTGCAGTGCCCAGAATGGGACCCAATACTTCAATACAGTCTAACCAGTACAGAGTATAATGGAGCTATTATCTCCTATAAACTAAATGAAAACTCCATATTCAGAGGTGAAAACAGGGAAGTGTTTTGGAATTTTACGTTTTTGCTTGTCTGCTATCTGAAGCCATCTGGTCCAGCACACTTGGTAACTTGTTATTGGACAGATGGACCAATGATGTGATCTTGTTACATTCATATCATCCTTATCACTTTGGAATTATTATGATTCTGATTATAATTAGTAATAGTAGTAGTAGTATCCCTCAAATCAAAAACAGTGGAATAGGTAAGGGGAGTCCCCAAAAAGTTCTGTCTTTAGATTCTGTTTTCAAGGTCAAGGGTTGCACTTCATGCAAATCCAGAGGGAGGGACAAGGAGCAGGAAACTATGTCACTGGTACCATGATGGCAAACTGCAAATAATATAATTTTCACAGTGAAAAGACATGGCACGCATGACATCATTGTGGCTTGTATCAGATGCTATGCTGGACTTAGACATTGATAGAAAGAACAATAAAATAAATATTCCCCCTTCCCAAAATAAAAAAAGGCATTTTTAATGAATTTCAGCATTGCAGTAAGATGGCACTCTGGCCAAATGAGAGCAACATGTGGTTGCCTACACTCAAAGAGCTGGGTCTGGCCCATCCTTAAGATAGAAATATTCAAATTCCAATATCTTCATCCTATGAAAATAAATAAGTTCCTGACATCTTAGAACCAAGTTGTCATTTGATCTCTATTGTAATGATGGACAGAATTTACTAATGTCTCTCTCTCATTCCCAGCTCAAAATATGTATATATGGGAAAGGTGTGTACCAAGAAAAATATGTATTAGGAAAAGTTAGGTTAAATATGTTATATATTAGAAAAATCTGCAGTTTCCTTCCAGCTGCAGTTCAAGATGCTGGTTTTCACCCTTAAAGCCCTACATGGCATGGTACCAGGTTATCTGCAGGGCTGCCTTTCCCTGACAGTATCTGCCTGTCCCACCAGAGCAGATAGGGTAGGGACGCTCCAGGTCCCTTTCCTTAAACATTGCCATCTTGTGGGTCCTCAGAAGCATTGCGGCCCTTGCCCTTTTTTGTTGCAGCCCTTGCCCTATAGAACATCCTCCCCCTTGAGATCTGGCAGGTCCACAACCTTTTAACCTTCTGGAGAGCACTTAAGGCCTGGCTCTTCCCCAAGCACTGGGATAGGGTGAAGTCAGAGCAAGATGAAAATGCTGTGGGTTGCATCAGGGAAGTGCAGTTGTGGCCCCAGATTTTTCTGTTTTGGGGTTTGGTTTCTTTTTGTTTTTATGGTTGTATATATTGTTTTTATTGGTTGTAAGCCACTCTGAGTTCTGTTTTAAGATGGGTGGTTATACAAATGTTTTAAATAAATTAAATAAATACATTTGAAAATTAATTTATTATTGAAGTTGCATGGGATTACAAATGCATAAGTTCCATTTTTTAACCACAAAAGATTTAATGGGAAACGGTAAGTTATTTGATTTGCTGAGAGGGACCACACATAATCCCCACTTACCCATAAAGTCATGGTCACTGGGCGACCATAGTCCAACCACGCTTTTTCAGCCTAATTTATTTCAGAAGGGTTTTGTGAGAATAAAATGGGAAATCACATAGACCAAACTGCAGATAGAGTCTATCTAATAATGCTCTTCAAAATACAGAGTAATAAAGTTCAGGATTCTCACTGGCATATGGTTATTTGGATCTGCAGGATAATAGTTTTATAGTTCTGTCTAAATTAATCTGATTCCCTTTTAAATTCATCTGTTACTAGGTGCACATCACCTTAGAGCAGCACATTTATAATTATATGTTATGTAGAAAAGTGTTTCTTTACTTTTTCATGAATTGGCTGAACCTCAATTTAGATATTTTAAGAGAGGATAAAAACTTCAGTCATGATGGAAGTGTAAAGATAAGATCAAGTGGAGAAAACAGTTCTGTAACTATAAGGAAAATCAAGCATTAACACACACATACTTAACTATATACACATAATACTTTTCCCTTTTGGAGTAAGCAAAGTTATACAAATTCAAAAAAAGAGGTAGGAAATAGTATGCTGAAGAAGATAAGATGTGCAATTTTAAAAAAAAGGAAATAGCAAAATCTAATTTACACAAATACCATTTATTATACCTCCCCAAATTTTTCTGTCTTGCAAACCATCCTGCTTCCACCACATGCAAGAATCTTTTTTATATATTGCCTTTTCTTCTCTAAATGTCTCTATTTTTTATTATCTCATCAACTCCATCCAGCTACAAGAATTCCAGTCTTCCTCTTCCTGTCAACCTATTCATTTTTCCTTCGTGTATTTCTTTTGTGATTCAATCCTCATTCATCCTCTCTATACAATTAAACCATCTCAACATACTTCCTTCATACTGGTACTACATTTTGTATTCAATTCACATTCATTCAGCACCCATTCATTCTTGACCCTAACCGGTTTTTGTTTTACCACAGACACACTTCCTATACAGTATATCCCATTCTCACTGCATTCAACTTACATTTATGGATCTTATACATAGACATTTTACTTCTTTTGATAAACGTTTATTCCTCACAACAAACCACATATCATCTATCATCTTTGTGCCAGCATTTGCATGCCTTAAAATAACTCCATGCATTTTCCCATTTTTAGTAAACATTCTACACAAATTCTTCTATTTGCTTTAGTTTTTTGGTATTTAAGTATAACTTGAATTCATTTATTGCATTTTCCCCATCAAACACCACTATCATGGTCTCTGATGCATTAATATTTACATCCATGCTTCTTGTCCTATCATACAGTCTATGTAACATTTGCTGAAATCATTCAAGTGAACAATATTGCACTGGCTACATACAATAGTATGTTCATGTTTACCTCCTCAGTCAACATACCTCTAAAATCACCACAAGCATTCTTTATACATTTATCCATAAATACATTAAATAACCAGTGGGGCATCATATATTCTTTATCTGCACAGTGGTAAATCATTCATTAAGCATTTCATTCATTCTCACACATGCTTTACTTCCAATATATACTACATTCAGCAATGAGCCTTCAACTACATACTCACACAAAGCTGAATTCCATAATTCAACCCTATTCACTTTCTCATATAATTCCACTAAACCAGTGTTTCTCAACCTTGGCAACTTTAAGATGTGTGGACTTCAACTCCCAGAATTCCCCAGCCAGCATGCTGGCCAAACTAATCCCTCTATAGTTTTTTGCATTCAGTCTTTCTATCTTCCCCTTATGTAAGGGAACAATAACAGGATTCTTCCAATTGCCCAAGTATGAATGCACAGGCTCAATATATGTAAAACAAGCTGTACAACCAATCCATAAGAAAACCACATAATTTGTTTTAACATTTCTCTAAGTACACCATCTGTATCTGCAATCTTACTATGTTTCAACATTCCCTTATATTTATGATTTCCTTTTGATCACTGAGTGGGTGTTCACATTGATAGCATTTGCTTCAATTCCTTTCTTCAACATATAAATTGTCATTCCAATACAAATCCCTAAAATACTCCTTCTAGCATTCCCTCACTTCAGTTTCATCCCAAATCATTTCATCATTTTAATTCCTTTCACTCTGCTGGAGGCACCTTTTTAGTCATCTTCACCCATTTCCAAAATAATGTTATTTCCATCAAAATCACTCTGCATGTTCTCTGCCTCTTTTAATCTTAATTGTTCCTTGTTTTTACTCTTTACAGGCATTATACAATATTTTTTTCTCTCATCTTTGTTTTTTGCAGTAATCATTCTTTGATATGCATTTTTATCCAGATCTACATTTCATCGTTCTCCAAAATATCCTTCTTACTTTCTTTCAAAGTATAAAATATACAGCATTTTAATTGCAATCTGAATTCAGAATTTGAGACTTAAGAGAGTCAGCCATGCTATTTAATAAAGTGTTATTCATTATTGTGGAAAAAAAGAACAAGAGCAAAAAATTGATTTATCTGGCAATTCTGTTTTTACCAAGCAAAGATGTTATTACAAGCCAATCACTCTTGTAATTGAAAGTATATTTGGTATAAACTCGGGTGACAGATGTCTAGAAGAACTCTGTTCCATGAACTTGGCCAGGATCAAAAAAGGCAATTTACCATCTATAGTACAATGTAATATAACAGAATAATTCTCATAAAAATAACTCAATGTTTGAATTTAAACTATTGGATTAATCTGAATCGCAATGAAATCAATTTAATAATCCTTCAGAATGTGTTTGTGTTTGGCTCCTGCTTACAAAGGTATTGCATTAACATTTCACTACAGGAAATGTATGTCTCCCCTGTCCCTCCACATCTCACCTCAAACGAAACATTTTTTGTCTGATTTTGAAAATGCAGCTTTTTTTATTTAGAAATTTGAAGGTCTTATGAGAAGAACAGTGTTGTGACAAGTACAGGGCCTCTTACCCATGAAACAGCAGGAAACGAACTAAAATAAAACTCCTATTCTTGACTGCATGATTAGATTTAAGCATCTGGGTGTAGATAGTACTTTTAAATAACAGACTGAGGAATAATTGTTTTGAATTCTTTTCCATACTAATTAAAATATTATTTAAAAAAAGAATTCTTTTCCATATAAGAATGAAATAGAAATCTTACTTTCTTTGGAAACTTGGAGAACTGCTGGAATTTCACATTGTTTTTCTATGGGTTTTTTTCCCTTTAACAAAATTATTCATATTTAATTTGGGATTTAGGTCATGGCGGAGAAATGGTTCCAGTTTTGTTTTTGTTTTTGTTTTTTATCATAGGCTGTACTTTGAAATCATGTCACTGCCCCAACTACTTTGACTTCAGAATAGACAAGGCTTAGAGGAAATTTTTAAAAACATTTTTTTTAGGAAATGTAAACAAATATAAAAGGAACATACACACCCCAAAACCATCAGGTTTCAAGACATGTTTTGGATATAATTTCAGCAGTACATTTTTCATTTTAAATCTGAATGACATGAAATTTGCTAGTTGTTAGTATGCCTTCCATGTTTCAAAGAGACTGGGCAACTGGGCCCCGTTTTAAGGGTAATGAAAACAGTTGACTTTCATTGAACTTTCCTACAAATGCAGCAGAGACTTGACCTGACTTCTGTGACCTATGAATTTCACATTTTTGGAGTGAAATTTTGCTCCCAGCAATATCCTATTAAATGCTTGCAGCTATGGAGCAACAGCAAGAATGGGCCTTTGCCTTCCTGAGTGCTTGTGGGCTAGAAAAGACCTCTGGTTGGCTGTGGTATAAAACAGGATGCTGGACCACATGAATCTTTGTTCTTACTTCAGAAGCATGTCCTGGCAGGCTGTTAGTAGTCCAGCATTATCAATTAGCAAAAGCTCTCACAGGTGAAGACAGAAAGCAGAGCCATAGTTGCTACCTAATCCAAGATAAGCAAAGGTTTTGTCAAGTACAGGCAAAGAAGGGTCCAAAGAAAAAGCAGTCAAACACCTTAAGTTTGGAGTTACAAACCTCCTGATGAACACCATCAGAGAAATTGTTCCAGTTTCAAACTGCACAAAAATAGACCCTTAAATGCTGGAAACTTTGCCCAGAGGCAGGTGGCACTTATCAATTCTGATCACAACCTACTGTACCATCCTGCTGCCCCATACAACATGTTCTGGCTTCCCTCTTACAGACATGATATTGAGAATCTAGTGCAGGATATGAGTCTTCAGAGGCAAAGTCTGAAGAAGAGGGATTTGATTCTGCCCCATCACCAGCTAGTACTGGTCCCTCAGTATCAGGTTTATCTGGTGTTATGTCCTGTTTCATTGTTCTCTCAACAATGGCTTATATGCCAGAAGCTTATAAAGGATCCTTCCTATGATGAGAGTCAGAGCAGACTACAAGGCTTCCAACCTGTCAAGATTTGTATTTATTCCAATGTAAGCCCTGTACCATTATATGTTCTCTGGAGTATTGTATGTTCACAAAGCATCTTACCAGACAATTGGAAGCCTACAGAGGAAAATCAAAATGGTAAGACTGCAATATTTAACCAGTGTTAAAAATCCAATGGTACATTTAATTACTACCTTAAAATCTGATTCCAAAGTTGGTTACTTCAATCTATACATAGAGTCAGCCCTATCAATAGCCAATTTGACTTGAGATCAAATCTCCTCCTTCAAATAAATTAGTTGAGCTGTTGGCCCTTGAACACGAGCAAGTTCTATCCAGTTTCCTTCCAATTTGGAGTACAGTGTGCCTATGTACTCACAACCCAGTAGCACACAAGATAATAATGACAGAATGAAAACTTCATTTCCAGCAATAGGTATTGTTAACAAACTACATTTTTCCTAATATTATTAATTTTTTGTATTTCTTAGATAATTCTTGGCCCAAATTCCTCAAAGCAACCATGCTGTGAGCCAGAGATGGCCTTCTTGATCCTCAGAAGTACTCTGTAGTCATATTTTTCTTTTCTCTTAGTGGTCATATTGATTCTGTCCTAATTGTCAATTTTCTGCAATGAACACAAACTATTCCCTCCAATCCCTTTTCAGCCACTGCTTCTCCCTTCAATGGTTTTTTCTCACTTCATCAGTTTTCTGTTATCATCCAACCCTCGCTCTTTTGGGTTTCTTTTCTCCTTCAGGCCACTGATGTAAAAAGAAAAGGAGTTCTGCCCCAACTGCTAATCTTGCATTATATTTTCCTCATCTACTGATTTAAATCTATTGTCATCTTTCAGCTGTACTGATTCTTTCTGAAGCATCCACACAGAACTTCTGCGTCAATCCCAGATTGCTATTTCTGCAAGGACTTCCTTTCTTTTTCTAGCATAGAGTTCAATGAGATTGCTTGCTTCTTGGTATCCTTATTTCTATACAAGTTTCTTCGGAAAACTAAAAGTTAATTATTCTCTATTCCTACAGGCCAGCTATTCATATGCTAATCTGTGATAACATGGGACGGTCATGAACATTTGCCACCCAGAGTCACTGGTTTGAGATGGGCGGCTATACAAATTGAATAAATAAATAAATAAATAAATTCTAATTTCTCAAGGAAATATGTCAGCACAAGCAGAACTTTGGCAAACCCTGAGAATTCTGAGAAGGAATGAAACATTTTCTTTTAAGCAGAAGAAAAAAATCAGCCCAGATCTAACATCAAACATCTAACATCTACAGTATCAGCAAAAAAATAGCCAGTAGGTAAATGGGTTTTGGAGACACTCAGTCCTGAGGGTCAGGGGGAAAAAACAAGGGGTAATGGGAGAAAGATTATAATTAGGGCAAGGAAAGGAAATTTCAGCACCTGTGCCTTTAACAATGTGTGACAACTTTAATTTTGTAATTAGCAAAAGTGAAAAGGCTGCTCATGATGAAATCCTGCCTTCATAAAAAATAATAAAAGTATGAGTCTTGTCTGTCTTTCTAGTGTTTTAGCCCAAAGACAACATTTTTAAAGAGAAAGTATGCATTCAGCTCAAGAATGTTTGCTACAGGTAAGACCCAGTGATTTCACAGAAAAGTACTTCTAATTTTTGCATAGGATTGTACAATTTGTTGTATTTTTATATTTCTTTCCCACTTTATTTTAAACTGCTAACCAAGGTGATGTTGAAGTATTTCCAGCATTCCAGATAAGTCATCAGTGAGACTGTTCAGCATCTGAAATCCTCATATCTCCTCTTACAGGGATATATCTGAGACAAAGATCAGCCAGCTGCCCAGCATTGGTCTAGAGAACATTAACAAGTTGATAGCGAAATCTACCTACAACTTAAAAAAGCTCCCTCCCTTGGACAAGTTCCATGCTTTGATTGAGGCAAACCTCACATATCCAAGCCACTGCTGTGCATTTGAAAACTGGACTAAACAAAAGTGAGTACCTAATTTGTTTACGATGTATAGGTAGTTCTCTCTTAATGACCACAACTGGGACTGGAATCTCAATTGTTGAGTGAAGTGATCATTAAGCAAGATGCCCATGTGACTGCTTCACTCAACAACTGCAATCCAGGCACTCCCAGTTGTGGTTGTTAAGTGATCTCCCAGGTCATTAAGTAGACAGAGTGAAAGAGCTGCCTGCTGAAGGATTTCAGCTCTGCACAGAGCTGAAATCCTCCCGGCAGGCAGCCCTTTCACTTTCAAACATTCCTGCAGCCAACTGAAGGGCTCCCCCTCCCTTCTGTGCACAGAGGGGAAATCCTTCAGCAGGCTGCAGGAAAAGAGCTCAAATCCTGAAGATTTCGACTCCATTCCTGCAGCCCGCAGAAGAATTTCAGCTCCCCTCCATCCCCTCCACTTGCAACCTTCCCTGCCAGCTTCCCCACTGACTTTCTGGGGAAGCCAGCAGAGAAGATTGCAAATGGTAATCACATGATCACGGGGTGCTTGGCAAGCAGTCGTAAATGTGAGCCAGTTGCCAAGCGCCCGAAATGCAGTCATGTTACCACTGGGGGGCAACATTTTATGATGGCCAGAAGTGCTTTACGGGCCATAAAGCACCCTTTCCAAGGCCATCGTAACTTTGAACAGTTGTTAAACGACCAGTCATAAGTAGAGGACTATCTGTAGGGTTTTGATGCATTTGTGAATGCCAAAGTCTGCTTTGATTTTCATGACTAGTCTGACTAACATGTAGTTTGTCTAATCTGCCAGACAGGAAAAAAAAAATGCAGTCAGCCCTTAGATTTCTTTTAAGGTCCTCAGCCCCGCAAGAAACATAAACGTTATACACCTTCTTTTCTCAACATGTTGGGTACTAATTGCAGTGGCCAAATTTCTTCCTGACTAACCAGGTCACTGGGGATCGACAACATGTGGCCCTCCAAAATATGGTTAAATTCTAATTTTTATCAGTCCTAACTAGAGCGTCCAATAATATCTGGAGGATAACGCATTGTTTACTTATGCATTAGATATTGCAAATAAGAGGAAGATAGGATTTAAGAGAAACTCCACTCTTTTCTGGCTTTTGGGGGGGTGGGGGCAGGGAGTTCAAATGGTGGCCATATTGACAAGGATTATTTATAAGAATTAGGATTAGGGGCTAAATATTTATTATTTATTTATTTATTTAATATAGCTGCCCATCTCACAAAAAAGTGACTCTGGGTGGCGTACAAAAAGACTATAAAACAGTTAACATATACAAAACAATTATTAAAAAGTTTAACTCTGAGAATCATCAAGGTAAAGCAACAAGCGTTTCCTTTCAAATGTATAGAAGGAACTGGATGACAAAGGCCAAATAAAGCACATGGTATTTAAAACTCAGATATTTTGTTGAGACTGATCTTGGATATTTGGTATATATAATAACTCTTAAATTTATTAAAATATAATAAAAAGCCCTCTAGGTCTGAACAAAATTGGTTTCTTGGTCCCATTTATGCCTAGTAGCTACTAGCTCTTCCACACATTCCTATCAGGAGCTCAAAGAAATAATTGGACTATTTTGACTGTCACCAAGAAAGCTCAAGGAGTCTTGAATTTTTGACAGCAACTGAAGACAAACAGGCTTTGGATAGAAGAATAACATTTGATGGGGAGAGATTAATATACTTTTAAAACTAACATTCTCTGTTTGAATGCCTACCTGCCCCTCCTGGATTCAGTAGCTATGTAAAGAATTCCCTTTCTCCCCCAAAGGATCATCATCTCTAATCCTCTTCTCAGAAAAATTGACCCTGTAGGAAACTACTTCTGCAACTTTCTTTCATTTAGAAACGCAAGGAGAATAAAGCAGGCCTAGGCATTTGGACAGCCTTGGGACTGCAGAAAAATAAAAACAGTGAAATAGATATCACCACTGTGTTCATTTTAATAAATCTGATTTTCAGAAAGAATCATTAGCACAACCCCCCATGGAGTTTCACTGGTGCTAATCATCAGGTCTTCTCATCCTCTTAAATCAGACTTCCTTCAAGCTGATTTGCCATCCATGTGATGGCTTAGGCCTTCAAGCATCAAGAGACCTCCTCATTTATTTCCGCCTTTTCAAGTATTCTTTGAGATGTGCACAATGACTGGTTTAATTAACCCTTAAGCTCTTTCAGTTGCTTTGCTGGTTATGTTTCTAACTCCTCTACAAATGAATGTTTCATATCAGAAGTGGGCTGATCTCAGTCTTTGATATTCTACTTTTCTTTATGAACTCCCATAAAAAATCTGCAGTGTTTGAGATTTGTAAACCAGGACTCCATACATGAATCTCTTGATGACTGAAGCAGGGGTGTACAATCTTTTCAAGCCAAGGATCACAGCCAGCTTGTGAATACTATGGTGTGAGACAGGTCTACCCCAAAAGTAGGCAGACACGGGTCAATAATTCAGTTGATTTAATTTAATTTAAATAAATGAATAGTTTATATGATTATAAGCTATATATTTAATAATTTTGATAATGTTCACCATATTTTAAATTAATTTTAAGCAATTTTACCATAGCTTTAGAAATTACCATTTGCTGGAAATTTTTGAAAGGCCTTTGTGGGAACTTACAAAAGGGCTTCTGGAAATGTATGCAACACTAGCTACTGATCCCCCCATCATTGGCATGTATGGGTTATGTCAGAAGCAAAAGTTTATTTTCTGTAAGCAAAAATTATTATTGCTTTCTCCTGCATATTTATAATCTTCATTATAATCTTCTCACTATCACCCCTTCCACAGCAGCTAGTGAGATGTCAGTACCACTGTGGTTATTTTATGATTTAGGATAAATTAACCTCCAGAGTTACTTGAAGGTTACAGATGTACATAAATAAGAGAGCCAGGAGTATATTTACAGACAGTCTAGATCAAGGTCATGTCCACATCAGTGATTTGCTTTAATTAAGGAATGGCTCCAGATTTCATTGATATAACCACATTGTTTGTCTTGGGGAGCTGAGATGATTTATTGTAGAATTCTGCTATAGTTTCTTTGAAACAGTGGCAATGTTGGTATTTTCTTCTGGATTACTACGAACCACGTAGAAGGTCTGTTTTCCCATTGGCAGGCTCTTGCCTCAGCCTCCCTTCCATTCCTATTCTTAAGTTAGCCATTACTGTTTCCACACCACCACCATAGCAGCTCAGCGTTTTGTTTCTGAAGCTTAACTTTTCCAGTATGTATTTTTAAGAACTTATTTCCTCTCTCCCCCAGTCCAGCCACACGCAACCATGGATTCAAATATTGGGGACAGCACTTCACTGCAAAATTCTCCAAATGTGATCATATCGTTTTACAATTCATAAGGGCTTTTAGATACAGCTGAGGAATGGTGGCAATTGAAGGATTCTGTTTGGAGGATTCTAATGCTTTTGTTTTTCATTTTTTAGAGTTAAATTTCCTTTGCATTATAACTGCCAGATCTGGGCTGCAAGATTCTGGACAATCCCTATGTATATGGTAGCAAACAGGATTCTCTGCCACTCTTTACTACCATCTAGAAGTCATCCAGATTTTTGCAGCCCAGATATGTTACCCCTAATCATAACAACATCTCAGTTCTGTATTTGTGTGTATGTGTACTAGGAAGCATTTTCTGCAAATGCAGGCTGAAAACACTAGCATTGCTCAAGTAGGTGGCTGCTGGCATCTGGCTCTTCTTTTTCTGCTTGGCATGCAAACATGTCTGTATTTCAATCCGTACTGCAGACCTCCTGACTTCTTTCCTGTTAAACATATCAGACAAAAAAAAAAGGGGGGGGGTCTTTTATTTCACTTACTAGGACTAGAGAGACTCCACTCAGCTTCTGAATTCAATCTAGGTTTCTCTACCCATCCACTCTACCCTCAAGAAAAAAGAGCAGAAGTCAGGGTTATTCTCAATGATGTTGATGATGATTACAGGGGCCCTATACCATTTTGGTCATACAAGGCCCCTGTAAAAGCCATAGCAGAGAAGCAGCATGGAATGAAGCAGGGAGGGAGGACCCACTGCCACTGCTGCCACCCCACCTCCCTCCTCTGCTGCCACTCCTGAGTTAGCTGTTGCCTCAGTCAGCAGCAGCACGGACATTAGACTCCTCTTCCTCCTCTCTTCAGGTGGCGAAGGGATGCATTGCAATAGCTGAGGAGGTAGAGGAGATTCTTCTGCTACTATGGCCATGTGACCTTCACCATCTTTTTTTGCCACCCATTTTAAATTCCTGCAGCCTAGGTAAGCTTAGTCTCTCACTTTCACCATTCGCAGTCTCTTCTCTGGCCTTGGGGGTCAGAGAACTCTATTGATGCCCCTGGAGTCTGCAAATTCCATCTCTAATTTTCTTACCTCTGTTACTCATCACTCTTCATTTTACAATCTCGGCTACTGCTGAAGGAACCACCTGCTTAAGCATTCCCTACAACTTAAAAAAAATGCCTACCCATACTGCCAGGTGTCCCTCAAAATTGGTAGCCATTTATGGGAGACGTTTTCTCTGTCTTTCAAATAGTCTTTCATTTGCTTTCCTAACACATGTGAGCCTGTACAAGTCTATGTGGTTATTTCAAAAGGTTTTTAATGGCTTGCAAATCATTTTCTCACCTTGCTTTGATGCCTGCTAGATCAAGGGTTCCACATGGAAAATCGCAAAGAATTTTTTCCGCCATCTCAAAAAAGTACTGAGATTCCTCACCTGCATCATTTATTATTCTGTAAGCCTTTTTTAAGTTATTTCAGATTCAGGAAGAAAAATGAACATTTTCAGGCAAACTACCTGCGTTTAGCCTGAAACTCTCCAAAGTGACCAAAGGAAAGATCTAGATTCACCTTGCCTAGATTAATTTTGCTTCTCAGCACCATTAGTTCCTTGGTATATTTTTCCATGTTAAACAATACTCAAGGGCCTGGAGGAAAAGTATTATCTGGGCCCTTTTCAATTGGTTTTCAGACTGAGATATAGAATGAGACAGCATTGATTGCACTTGTATATTGTGGTCCTGATTGTGGCAGGACCAGGATAAGAGTGGTGCATCCATTCTGGCCCCTGATCTTTCAGCAGATAGCATCCATTATGGTATCCTCCTTGATTGGCTTTGGGTGTCAGCAGTAGGATGGTATGATGATGCAGTGGTTCTCTTCCTTCCTCTAAGGCTGGTTTTATTCATTGTTGGGGGGGGGAGATCCTGCTTTGTGGGGTTCCTCAGGCTCTACATTTTCTCTGTTCCTATTTAATATTTCTGTGAAGCTGCTGGATGAGGTCATCCATTGACACAAGTATCATCAGTACACAATTTTACATCTCTACCCCAGGACAACCAAGTACTGCTGTCAAGGCTCTTTCCCAGTGTTTTGAGACTGGGGGGTTCTGGATGGGGAGGAACAGTCTCAACTCAACCCAAGCAAGACCAAGAGGTTGTAGGTTTTATCATCCACCCAGATCTTTAGTTCTGGATGATGATGCATTCCCCCAAACAGAACCGGTACGCAGTTTGGGGTTCTCTTGGATTCACATCTCCTGCTCGAAGAACAGGTGGCAGCCATGGCCAACAGGGCCTTTGCACCAGTTGCATCCGTTCTTGGATTAGGAGACCCTGCTCATAATCATTCATGCCTTGATCACATCCTGCTTGGACTGTTACAATATGTTCAATGTGGGGCTGCCCTTTAAGATCAGGCAGAAGGTCTAATTGGTCCAGAATGCAGTGGCACACATAGTATGCCCATGTAACACCACTACTTCATGAGCTTCACTGGCTGTCTGGGTGCAATTCAAGGTGCTAGTTACCACTCATAAAGTCCTTCATGACACAGAGCTGAGTTATTTGTAGGACTGCCTATCTCCAACTGCCCATCCCAGAACATTTGACAGAATGGCCATGCTTTGGGTTCTCTCCACAAAACAATGGGACTTATGCCAGCTAAAGAGGCATGCCTACTTTGTCACAGCTCTTTGGAACAGTATATCCCCCACCTACCCACTTAAGGTTCAGATGCTCCAACCCTATTAGCCTGCCATAAGTTTTAGAAACATGGTTTTTCCCCAGACTCTGAGCCAGGATATTTGATGAGCCCCACTGCAAAATGGTTTGGGACCATGAATATGGTGTGGTTTTGGTCTCGATTTGTTTTCTTTTATGTTATGCTGTGTGTGTGTGTGTGTGTGTGTGTGTGTGTTTTATGTTACTACTTACCTTGTTTTCTTTTTAATCTTATGTTAACCACCCAGAGTTGCCATTTGTGAGTTGGGCAGCCATATGAATCAAATAAATCAGGAAGGAAAGAAGGAAGGAAGGCCATCAGAATCTTTCTGATCCTTATCAGTTATGATGTCTTCTGAAGTAATCTACTTTTTAAAAATGAAAATTGGCATTGTTGGTATTTTCCCAGAATACACATATTAGGATTTTGGTTAATATTGGTACTATATTTTCCAGGTTCTGACTATATTATTTTCATCTTTTTCAGTTCTATGATGCACCCTATATGCAATAAGTCTTCGATCTCTGAAGAGCCTGATTTTTTTGAGCTGGATGAAAATGATTACTATCACACTCTATGTAGAGAAGAGTTTAAAGTAGCTTGCTTCCCAGAGCCTGATGCCTTCAACCCATGTGAAGACATAATGGGCCACATAATTCTCCGAGTCCTGATATGGTTCATCAATATCTTGGCCATCATGGGGAACCTTGTTGTGTTCATCATTTTAGTTAGCAGCCAGTACAAGCTCACTGTCCCTCGGTTCCTTATGTGCAATCTTGCATTTGCTGACCTCTGCACAGGCATTTATTTACTATTGATTGCCATCAAAGACATGCAGAGTAGAAGTCAGTATTATAACTATGCTATTGACTGGCAAACTGGGGCTGGTTGTAATACAGCTGGTTTTTTCACAGTATTTGCAAGTGAACTCTCCATATATACTTTAACTGTCATCACATTAGAACGATGGCATACCATCACCTATGCTATGGAACTAGACCGCAAAGTCCGCTTCCGGCATGCAGTGGTAATTATGCTGGTAGGATGGGTCTTTGCCTTCACAGTGGCCCTCCTTCCCATATTTGAAGTCAGCAGCTACATGAAAGTTAGCATCTGCCTACCTATGGATATAGAAACTCTGCTTGCCCAAGCCTACATCATGTTTTTGTTGGTATTAAATATTCTTGCATTTGTTATCATCTGTACCTGCTACATCAGCATC